GTCGGCGCACACTGAGGTCCGGGCAGGTTCACACACGCGGCCAATTACCTTCCGCAGAGCTGCACAGGACTCACTAGGAAAAGGCCGGCTTTGTAAACCATGCGCCGCAATTTTTGGACCTTGATCTGCAAGGAGTGAAACTGAAGCTTGGCCCCTAACCTCATACCTAAGGTTTATACAAAACCTTTTACAGAAAGGATCAAGCGGGGCGCACTGGGACACGCCTGCAGCCCGTGCTCACTGCGGGACGTCCTGGGGCTGCCGACCAGCTCGGGAAGCCGGCAGACACTTGCCTCAAGAAAACGCAGCAAAACCACAGCGACAACATGAGTCTGAAAGCACTTGTGGATTGTAAGACATCCCCTAAACCTCTAGGTGAGCATGTATACAGATATGGGGGAATGTTTGTTATTTTTCTTGGCAAAGAGTTATGAGAACATTAAAAGCAAAGTTTGCATGAGAAAATATTGATAAACTGCAATTCACCAAAGTCTAAATTTCCATCCCTCACATTACAGCTAAGGTGAAAAGACGAGAAAGAGGCTGTAAGAAGACACTTTTCACGCTTACATCAGGAACGCACAAGGAGCACTCAAAATCACCAGTGAAAAAACAACCCAGTGACCAAAAGCGCGCAAAAAAATTAAATAGCGATTTCACCAAAGCACAGGTAGGTGGCCAATCGGAACTTGGGGGGATGGTCTACATCATCAGTCACTCAGAAAATGCAAATCAGAATCACAATCTGCTACAGCTGCACGACCTCCAGGATGGCTGAGACCGACAAGCAGAGAACCCCGACAATACCCCGTGTCTGAGGGTGCAGAGCCACAGAAACCCTGGATCTAGGGGTGCAGGCTGGAGGCCGGGGTAAGTTGTTACAATGCCGGCTCGATAGTTGATATACAACTCAGCAGATCTAGTTATCAGAGCCCCAAAACCAGAGGCAAATAAATGCCCTTCATCAGGTGACTGGGCTGAGGTCGGTCCACCCACACAGCGGAATACGACTGTGCCCTGAGCAAGAGCGAGGCGGCAAGGCTCAGGGCAATGCAGGTTTCACCACGTCAAAGAAATCGGGCTCCACAGCCTGCTGTCTAATTCCATCTGCATCGGGCTTTGGAGAAGACAAGACCACAGAGGCGGGAAACAGGCGATGAGGTCAGCAGGCCGCGGTGGACGGGGATCCGCTAAACAGGGCGTGAGGGAGCCCTTCAGTGACCGGGATATTTTTATTTCGATTGTATTAAGTAAGCGTGATGCATGTACCTTGAAAACTGAGCGTATCGTCCAGTATGCATGAAACCCCCACAAACCTGGCCACACAGCAGATAGAAACAAAGAAAAACCACATGAAGGCCTGGGGAGCAGCAGTCGGGCGGCAGCCTCGGGTCAGACTGCGGAACAAACTGAAATGAACAACACATCGGAAAACAACAGCGCCGACATCCTGAAGGCTCAATCTCTCTTTACAATTCTTTTTTTTTTTTTTTTCTTTTGTTACTGGGGATTGAATCCACGACCTCGCGCTTGCCAGGTAGGCACTTACGCCACTGAGCTAAACCCCTGGCCCTCTTCCAAAATTCTTGAGACAAAAAAGAATGCCAAAACTAAACTGCAAAATATGTAGAAATGACAATATTCAAGTATTATATATGAAAACCCTGGACAAAGCTAAAGCTGTGCTCAGGGGAAAACCCTTACCTGAAAAAATAGGGATGAAACAAAGCAAAATTAAACATTGATGTGTGTGTGTGTGTGTGTGTGTGTGGAGACCAAGTCTGGCTGTGTGGTCCAGGCGGGCCTTAAACTCACCGCAGTCCTCCTGCCTTAGCCTCCCAAGTGCTGGGGTTACCGCCAACACTTCTGACTGCTCAGTGCTTTTTGGTTACTGACAGTAACCCAAGCAGCCAGCAGTGGGCCAGACACATGGAAGGTACTCAATCAATATTTGTTCAATGAATACTTGTTAGTGAATAGAGTAAAATGAGTAAGTATAATAAAAGCACAGATGGGTCAGCAGAAAGAGTAATCGCACCAATAAAAACATTACGACCTTGTTTCTTGAAGAAATTGCTATAGGACACAAGGAAGAAAAACACCAAAGATCTATGTCAACAAAACATTAGAGTCAGACAGTTTCAAAAGAACACTAATTCTATGTAATATTCAAACACAAAATACTCCAGCGCTGTTTAAAATGTTTAAAGCTTAGAGCACGTCAGCCCCTGTACCGAGTAAGTGTGGCCCTGATGGCAGCGCCTGGCGAAGGCTGACCACCCCGACAGCCGTGCGGCCACCTCCCCGTGCCTTCTGGGGAAGCAGCCCCGGGCCAGACATTAGCAGACAGAATCCGGCAGCACGTGACAGAAAAACAAAATTCTACGGTCCAACTCAACCGGGTTTATTCTAGGGATGAAAGCGTGGCTTAGCTGTAGGAAACAATGATCATGTTTATAGATGATAAAAAGGCTTTGTATAATATTCAGCAGCCATCTTTCAGAAAACAGTCCACGACTTAATAAAAGATGTGATGTCTTAACATGGTGAAAGGGGTCACCCTTCAGCTCCACGGTGTTGAGCGGAGAAATGTGGAAGGGCAGAGAACCCGGAGGTGTCCTGAGGCACCCGCCACCAGAGCTCGGTAAGAGAAACAAAACAGAGCTGCAAAAATCAGAGAGGCAAGAGCAGATTACCTTTGGTGTGTAGGTAACGGGATTCTCAAGCTGGGAAGCCCAGGAGAGGGGTAAAAACGAATGCAGGGGCAAGATGTTTAAGTTTAACATGGTCAGACTGAAAATACAGAGTATCAACGCACAGACATACACAACCACCAGCAGCCCAAGATCGCTGTTAAAGCAACAGAAAGGTAAAGGAAGAAGGAATCTAATCGGAAGTACCAACATCAGCCGCCTCGGGAGGCTGGAGCAGGAGGGTCGCCACGAGTCCAAGGCCAGCCTCCACCACATGGGGAGACCTTGTCTCAAAAATATATGCGTAACATTAATATGAACCATGTTTAAAATATTTCTGAGGATTACAAAAGAAGATCATAAGAAATGGACAAGCATTCATGAAAGAAATTTTCAATTTTCAACACCATGAAGATACAATTTTCCCAAGTGTTCTAAAACAGTATAAATGTTGTGAGTCTGATATATAAATACCCGTTCACATATGTGCATATACATATGTATTTATACACGCAGACATATATTTAAGTCAACAAACTGATGCTAGATAGTTTATCTGGGAAAATAAAATGTGACAGTAAGAGAAAATTAGCAAAAATGCGACGAGGAGGAGCCTGCTCAGCTAGGCATCCGATGTTCCAAGCAGTGAACTTCAGCGAGCGAGCGACCCGGGACGCGGAGGGACAGACAGCAATGAGACGGAGCGGCTCGGGGGGCCTGAGCACACACGAGCCGCACAGCTCAGGATGCATCACGCCGCCGAGGTGGCTACGGGGTTACCGACCTGCGGCCCGGAGACCGCCAGGGAGCTCGGGGGAGAGCCAGGCGGACTTCACGCCTGGCACCAGGGACTGCAGAGTGGACCGACCAAAAAACAACAGCAAACCAATAAAGCACGACGCTAGTGAGAGAAGCCACGCGCAAATGCGTTATGACGGAGCAAGAAAGACTTTTAAAACCAGGACACAAAACCCAAACGCCATAAAAACAAGACCGACACACTTACCAGGCGTTCTGTATATGGCAAAAGCAAAGAGCAGGTAAGACTACGTCGGGTCTTATTACACTTAGACGGTCAATGTCCATAACGAGCAGAGAGCTTCTAAGAACAATGCAAAAGGTATCAGTGACAAAGCAGCCAACACACTAGATCGGCCAACACGGAATCCACAGAGCGGAAGTGCAGAGATACTCAACCTTGCTTGTTACAGAGGACTGCAAATGAAAACGCCACTAAGCAAGAAGCCTAAGTCACGAATCCGTGAGCTCAGGAACCGACTGTAGGAGTTTATCTTACCCGCACACCGCGCCTTGGGGTGTGTGTGTGTGCGTGCGTGTGTGTGTGTGTGTGCGTGTGTGTGCACATGTGTGAGACTAGTTCCCCTCCCCAAACACACCTCACAGAGCCCGAGAAGGCGACCCTGTTTTGAAAATGTAACTGCGGATGGACGTGGCTAAATGGAGCCCCAGCTGAGATCAGTCTGCATGAGACAAGGCGGCCCGAACTGGAGGACGGGCGTCCTCGTAAAAGGAAAATCAGAGAGGAACATCCAAAGAAGGGGACGCAGAGATGGGGTGGAGACGGAGAGGCTGAGCTAGGGCCCCTGGCGCCCCTGCAACCCGAGGAAAGACAGGTCCAGGCTCCCCAGGGGCTCTCCAGGAACCACCCGCCAACCCTGACTGCAGGCTTTGTCTACAAAGGACAGATCCCTGGAGGTGAGGCCAGGCGGGCGCAGAGGAAGCCGCGGGGCGTTGTGGCCACGGGGGCAAGCAGCAGCCAGGCTGTCCCCGGCCCCAGGCCCAAAGGACGCCCGGAAGGAGAGAGGCTGCCGGGACGGAGCAGAGGCCCTGGAAGGCCTTGGCCAGAGTCCAGCTCCCCAGTCCTCCTCCTGGCCGCCCGGGGAGGCCCCTGGAAGGTGGCGCGGGCGGTCAGCACCCTGGACAGAGGGCAGCACTTGGCTCTGTCGCCGGCGCAGATCTTTTGGGTCCTACAGCAAAGTGCAGAATGTGCATTACACGACTTGATTACTTGTGCACGGTGGTCAGGTCGGGGGGGGGGGGGCAGAACACGACTGCTACTCTGGGGGAGATGCGGGCATCGGGGCAACGCGTGTGGGTCAGGCTGACTTCTGGCTCTGCTCTGCCTTTGGAACTCTGAACCCCACAAATGGTTCAAAATACAAACATTTTATTCCATTAAAAAAATACCGGAAAGTCCAGTACGGGGCTGACCAGGGACAGGGTCTCACTGTGCCCACTAAGTGGAGCCGGGGCTCGGCGGGGTGTGGGGTGAGAGCGCGTGCCCACCTGTCCGGTAGCGCCTGCAGCACGGTGGGCATGAGCACCCCGGAGATGGCCTTGTAGAGGATGGAGTCGCACACACCGACGATGTTCACCACCGTGGAGGAGCCCAGCACGGGCAGCATGTGGGGCGGCATGCCCTGCCAGAAGTGCAGGAGGAAGCTCTGCACCTGTGCCGAGCAGAGAGAAGCTGGGTTAGGCGGGGCGCAGCCTAGGGCTGGGCACCCCAACAGGGCACCTGGTCTGCAGCTCAGTGGCTGCTGCTTCCCAGGGCCCCCACTTGGCCCACAAGGCCCGGGGGGTTGGTGACATGTCCGGGGCACTGTGGCCGGAGAAACAGGCTGGGGCCGGCATAGCCTGTGGCCGGTGTGGCCTGGGAGGCGAGGGGTGCCAAGGCCACTGCTCCGGCCTCCAGCGTGTGCCCCAAAGTCTGCCAACCACGAGGGCTGTTCACATCCCCAGCCTCACATTTCCTGACCGCCCTGGCCAGACGGAGCAGTGACAGAATGCTGGACGGTGGCGCTGGGCTGGACGCCGTGTGGACCTCTCCTATTTACCACCAGCCCGTGCCATCGGGGGGAACCCTTGGCACAGAGGCCGGAGGGGCCCCGGGAGGGGGCGAATGGCCAGAGCAGGGAGGCCTTTGGTTCCCCAACCCGTCCCTCCCTGGGCTGGGGGCTGGGAAGAGGGTGGGAGGGGCGGTCAGGAAGCGGGGGAGAGGAGGTGCAGAGCCCCTGTAGCTAACGCCGGGGGAAGCCCTCTGCAGGCTGGGGAACATGTCACCCTCGAGGTCCCTAACAGGCCTGCCGGGGCTCCTGGACTCTCCCCCACCTCCCGTGGGCACACCTGAGCCCCATGTCACACACCTCTGGCTCCTCCTCCAAGCCTGACTGATGTGGGAGTGACCTGGTCCGCCCCCTCCCCCACGGGATGCCCGCAGCTGGTGCTGTTACTGCAAGCTTTCCCCACAGCAGCTCCTCTATGCCAGGTCTCCGTAGAGTTCTCCCGTGTCATACTCATGGTGATAGAGGGGCTGCCCTTGCTCCCACTTACACAGTCGACAGTCACTTGTCTGCCTCTGTCCTCCCACTATTCGCACTCAGGTTGGTTTGATTTTCACGTGACAGCTGGGCTTCGGCCCCACTCCTGAGGCTGCACCTGCGCCTGCCCTGCCCACTGACTGGATTCCTGCCCCTGCCCCTCCTGGCCACCTGCGGCATCCTTCGGGCCCCTCCAGGCTTAGGGTGTGGTTTTCTTCTGGCCAGGGAGATGGTGCCCTGCCCGGCTGACGAGCCTGAGTACAGGCCTCCCTGCGGCCACAGCCAGTGTGGGCACCCTGCAGGGCACTGGGGGGGGGTGGCAGGGAGGACAGCTGTCAGAAACCCAGAGGAGGGCGGGGATGTCAGGCTCTAAGCTGTGAGACCTGAACTGCGGCCTGCTGGTCCGTTATGATCAAAACACTGCCGCAGTCTCAGCCAGCGAGAAAACGAAACAAAAGCCATCTGCAGAGATGGACTTCCAGGGTTCCAGCCTGGCCCTCTGCTAACCAGGGTGCAAACTCTCTCAGCCTCAGTTTCCTCACCTGTGAAATGGGAGCACGAATAGCACTTCCCACATGGGTTCTGGTACCAATTTCTACAAAGTCCCTCTCAGCCCGGGTGGCCCATGGCTGATATTTCATGGGGTCACTGTTTCCGTCACCATCGGTGCTGTTTATGTCCAGGAGGCACTGTCACCACCAGGCCAAGAGAGCCATGTACAGCCTCAGGTGTTTGGGACGCTCTGGCCTCGGTTTCTGGGTGTCATCTGGCTAGGGCCCCCACAGTGGCTCTGCCCTGTCACTGAGACCGCTGGCACCTGACCGCTGGTCTGGCCTGAGCCTGGAGGTGGCTGCCCTGCTTGAGCCAAGAGCCCGCCCTCCCGAGGCCCCCCGCTGTGCCTTGGCTCCTGCTGGCCCTGTGCGGGCCTGCCTGCACTCGGGGCTTTTCCCGGACCGCTGTGTGCCGAGTCCATCCGCCCCTCAGCCCTCCTTTCTCTGGAAGCAGTCAGCGCGCGACAGAAGTCCAGGAAACAAACGGGAGAGGTCAGCTGCTGCGTGGGCTGAGACAACTCCGTGAAGACCTGAGCGCCGCCAGCAGCAGCTGTCTGCCTTCTGCCTCTCGGGGAGCCCGAGCAGCCCCCGGTCACCTGCCGGCCTCTGTGGGGCGTGTACCACCGTCTTCCAGCTTCCCTCCTTCTCTCTGCATCTGCGGTCATTTAACGTCCAGCGGTTCTGGTCCCCTGGGTGAGCCGCAGCCCTGAGGCTTGGGAGCCAGGAGGGAAGCGGCAGACGCAGCGCAGGGCCGGCCGGTGGGCGGGGAGGACGGCGGAGGACGGAGGACGCCGCTATACAGAACGAAGCTGATGGGCGCTTCCTCGCTGCAGGCTGGGTGAGGGGACTTCCGTAAAAAGCCCAGCACTGTGTGCGCTCGGGATGAATGGAAACGTGTTTCAGCCGGGAGGAGGGTCTCCTCAGTGCCGCAGGCATAATCAGTGGGAGACCCAGAGGCCACAGCTGAAAATAATTCCTTAAGTTTTCTGGGCTTTCTGTCTTAAGTCTTCTAAGCAATCAGCTCCGTCTCCTTTGGCCCAGTACCAAGCGCTTTCCTCAAGAAATCTGAGCGAGTTTTCTCTTCTTTCCCATGCCGTGTTCGGTTTACGGTAATAAAATGTGGAAACACTGCTGGTGGCTTGCGGCTGGGTGCGTCCCCTCATCGCTGCAGGGCCGGACAAGCGTCCCTGGAACCAGCACCAGGTCCCTGCCCCTGGCTCTAACTCAAACAAGACCCTTCACATTCTCACTTTTATGCACATCCTACTTCTGTCCCATTTTCATAACCAAAGAAACTGAGGCTCAGAGAGGGTAAGTGCTTTGGGCAAGGTCAGAGGCTACTCAGCAGTGGATCTGGGACTCAAACCCAGCCCCGCGTGACTTTAACGCTTGCGTGCACACTGCTATCTGGAGCAAACACCAGGGAGGCCCCGCACGTGGGGGCACATCCTTCAGGCTTGCCTGACAACGGGGTAAGTTGGCAGGGTTTTATACCCACCGACCCACCGACCTACCCATCCGTCAGCCCACCCATTTACACAGCCAGCGGCCGTTGCCAGCTGCCTCACAGCAAGCTGGCCAGGGTGTGGGACAAAGCAGAGACGGGCCCCGTCCTCCAGGGCCGCCCCTGCAGTGCAGACACCAACAGAGAACAAGTGAGAGACAATCTGAGACTCAGGGCCAGCACAGTTGTCACCTAAACCGACACCCAGATCTGGAAGACTTCAGATAAGCTATAAGGCTGGGGTGCCCCGGGACACCCAAATTCATTGACCATTGCGAGGTCCGCTCGGCTGTGGGGAGTCAGGGTCACTGGGACCAAACACCCTCCTGCTATTCTGGGGCTGGTAGAGTGAGGGCCCCCCGATGGCCACCTTGGAAACCACCAGCAGGTCGCCGCGGCAGGGGCAGGAGCACCGACTACGGGGTCAGGCGGTGGCCCTGTCACAGCTCCGGCTGGACTCAACTGCGCGGCCTCTCCAGACAGCAGTCTGGCCAGAGCGAGCGCTGTGTGCCCATCTACAAGCCACGAGACGCACCGTCCGACCACGCCTCCTGCCGCTCACCCTGTGAGTCAGGTGGGTGCGATTTTACCTCCGCTCCTAGGGTCAGGGGCTGAGACCTGGACGGTGGAGGCGGATCTCAAACCCAAGCCTGGGCTGCAGGCCTGGCTCTACCCCCTTAGGAGCTCTCTCTCTCTGTCTGTCTCTGTCTCTCTCTCTGTCTGTGTCTCTGACTGTCTCTCTGTCTCTGTCTGTGTCTCTCTCTCTGTCTCTGTGTCTCTGTCTGTCTCTGTGTCTCTGTCTGTCTCTGTGTCTCTGTCTGTCTCTGTGTCTCTGTCTCTCTGTCTCTGTCTCTCTCTGTCTCTGTCTCTGTTTCTCTTTGTCTCTCTCTCTCTGCCTGTCTCTCTCTTTGTCTCTGTCTCTCTGTCTCTTTCTGTGTCTCTGTCTGTCTCTGTCGCTGTCTCTGTCTCTCTGTCTCTGTCTGTGTCTCTGTCTCTCTCTGTGTCTCTGTCTCTCTGTCTCTCTCTGTCTCTGTTTCTCTCTCTCTGTCTCTGTCTCTCTTTGTCTCTGTCTCTGTGTCTCTGTCTCTCTGTCTGTGTCTCTGTCTGTCTCTGTTTCTGTCTCTGTCTCTGTTTCTCTCTGTCTCTGTCTCTCTCTGTCTCTCTCTGTCTCTGTCTCTCTGTCTCTGTCTCTGTGTCTCTGTCTCTGTCTCTCTCTGTCTCTGTTTCTCTCTCTCCCTCTCTCTGTCTCTGTCTCTCTGTCTCTGTCTGTCTCTCTGTCTCTCTCTGTCTGTGTCTCTGTCTCTCTGTCTCTGTCTCTGTCTCTCTGTCTGTGTCTCTCTCTGTCTCTCTCTGTCTGTGTCTCTGTCTGTCTCTGTCTGTGTCTCTCTCTGTCTCTCTCTGTCTGTGTTTCTGTCTGTCTCTCTGTTTCTCTCTGTCTCTGTCTCTCTCTGTCTGTGTCTCTGTGTCTGTCTCTGTGTCTCTGTCTCTGTGTCTCTGTCTCTGTCTCTCTCTGTCTCTCTCTGTCTGTGTCTCTGTCTCTGTTTCTCTCTGTCTCTGTCTCTCTGTCTGTGTCTCTCTCTGTCTCTCTCTGTCTGTGTCTCTGTCTGTCTCTCTCTGTCTGTGTCTCTGTCTCTCTCTGTGTCTCTCTCTGTTTCTGTCTGTGTTTCTGTCTGTCTCTCTGTTTCTCTCTGTCTCTGTCTCTCTGTCTGTGTCTCTGTGTCTGTCTCTGTGTCTCTGTCTCTGTGTGTCTCTGTCTCTGTCTCTCTGTCTCTCTCTGTCTGTGTCTCTGTCTCTCTGTCTCTGTCTCTGTCTCTGTGTCTCTGTCTGTCTCTGTTTCTCTCTGTCTCTGTCTCTCTCTGTCTCTGTCTCTCTGTCTCTGTCTGTGTCTCTCTCTGTTTCTGTCTCTGTCTCTGTGTCTCTGTCTCTGTCTCTCTCTCCTCCCCCAGGCTCTGCCCTCTCCCCCTGCATTCTGCAACCTCCCTGCCCCCCCTTTAGAGCTGGGTCTTATTTCTCTCCCCACCCAATGGTGGCATCATCAGGTTTTGGATGTCATGGAATTAAGCAAATGCAAGTGACACATGACAGTGAGGGTGAGCTCTGGGTTGGACAAAGCTCCCCTGGGATGCAGGCAGGACCACCGCTGTTTTATTAGGGTCAGCTGTCCACTAGAGGCCAGCTGCCCACGTGGGACTCCGGCCCATCACAGGCTAGCAATGTGCTCCGGCCAGGCGGCGCCTTCCCGCCATCCTTCCCCAACACGGGCTCAGTGTAGGACTCCGGGGCCCGGGGCAGGGCGCAGGGCGCAGGGTGCAGGCTCGGGAGGAAGAAGCCCGCCCCGCTGGGAAGCCCCCGCCAGCCGCAGCTGAGTGGGAGCAGACTCCCGGGAGTCCGGGTTGGGGATTACTTGTTCTAGCACTGCGCTGTCTGAATGGTCAGGGAGCGTCAGACGCTCCAAGCCCGGAGACTTTAGGAGTGTGAGACAGAGCCAAGCCACCGCTGGAGACAAAGCAGCGACCTTTCCTTCTAAAAACACTAACTAAGGGCTGGGGATTTAGCTCAGCAGCATGAGTGCCTGCCTGGCAAGCACAAGGTCCTGAGTTCAATTCCCGGTACCAAAAACAAAACAAGAAACAGAAACATATATAAACAAACAAACAGAAAACTCCACTGAAGGGATGGCTCGAGTGATTTGGGACACTTCAAGGACTTTTAGACCGGAGGGGGCAGAAGTCCGGGAAGGAACAGTGTCCTGGTTCCTCTACCACAGTGACACCGCCACCCTTTTCGGCTGTGAGCTCCGCTCTGCAGGTCCCGGGGAGGGTGCAGCCAAGGGCGGCAGGGTGTCGGTGCAGGAGCTCACCCCTCCGCCTCACCCCTCCTCCTCACCCCTCCGCCTCACCCCTCCGCCTCACCCCTCCGCCTCACCCCTCCGCCTCACCCCTCCGCCTCACCCCTCCTCCTCACCCCTCCTCCTCACCCCTCCGCCTCACCCCTCCGCCTCATCCCTCCTCCTCACCCCTCCGCCTCACCCCTCCTCCGCCCACGCACCCTCTCCTGCGGCGAGGGGTTGGTGGCAGCCGAGAGCCACCTCCTCCAAAGGGCAGCCCCTGGGCTGAGAGGTGCAGCCCTCCCTCCGCAGAGGATTTCACCGTCACTCTGGTTACCTACAGGTGCCTCCACCCTTCCTCATTTCCCCCACTCCATTCTTTCTTTCATTGCAGTATTTTAAAATGAAAAACCAAACTAGGCTTCTGACATCGTTTGCACTTTAAGATGGCCCTAGAGGTGGGACTTGGTGGCAAAGCGGACCGGTCCTGGAGAACAGAGGAGACCAGCTCGGAGTGAAGCAAATGGGTGATCTCAGGGAGCTTCGCCTCAGTTTCTCTGAATCTAGAGTTCTGGGGGACCCAAGCCTGGAGGGCTTCCTCCTGCCCACAGGTGGGGTGCAGTTCACTAGTAAAGCGAGAAAGCACGCGCGCGCCTCGCAGTGGACACAGGCTCTGAGCAGTGGGGAAACAAGAGCACCTCCTCTTGAGGCTCCCGTGGGGGTCAGGTGACCCCATGGCTGTCAAAGGTTTCGGGGGGCCAGGCCTGGCCCTGGCAGAGGCTCATGTAAGAGCTGAGAGCTCAGTGCTGTTTTGGGGTTTTTTTGACACAGGGTCTCTCCATGCAGTCCAGACTGGTCTTGGGCTCCCTTTGTAGCCCAGGCTGGCCTCAAATTCGCATGGATCCTCCTGCCTCAGCCTCCCGAGTGCCGGGATTACAGGAGTGTGCCGCCCTGCCTGGCTCAGTGCGGCACTTTGAAACAGTATTCACAGCCCACAGCTCTGACCTACCTCATCGAAGTTGGCTCTTATCACGGTGTCCAGGATCCTCTGACAGTGTGTCCTGTACATCATGATGAAGGTAGAGACCTGCGGGCCGGAGGGGTCAACCACAAAGGCTATGTGAACATACGTGGCGGCTGCGTGGGCAGTCCAGCGTCAGCAGGTCCCCCTGCTGGGGGAAGGGGAGTTGTGTGACCTAAACCCCACGGGAACCCCAAGCAGAAGGCATCTGTCCTGTATGTTGCCTTTGTTTGGTAATGTGGACATGTATTCCGTACCAACTGGTTTGTGTCTACCCGAGGTCATCTCCTGCTGACCAGAAGCTTCCTGAAAGCAGGACTCCAGGCCCTTGTCCCCTGCACATGACCCTCAGGGCCACGGGGCACAGCTGCCCTCAAACCCACAGAAGAGCTGCCTCGCTCTCAGGGAAGCATCCTGGCACGTGCTCCAAACACCCCGGGATCAAGCTCTCCCCCTCACTCCACCTCTAAAAACCCTCTTTATGCTTTCTCCAAATCCCCTCAGCACACGGACGCACGGGCTTCACTCTGAATGTGTGGAGGGGGAGGGGCTCTGCCCTGGTGAGGTGAGCGGGTGTGGGGGCCGAGGACAGGGACCAGGTGAGTGGACAGCCCGGTGCTGACAGAGGAGTAGGCAGGAGGCGGGGAGAGCTCTTGCTCAAATGAGCAGGGCACTGGCCGGGCAGGGTAGCACCTGCCTACAATCCCAGCACTCAGGCTGAGGCAGGAGACTGCTGTGTTTGTGGGCCACGCTGGACTACGTGGTGAGTTCAAGGCCTGCCTGTACTGATGGAGAGACGCTGTCTCAAAAAGTTGGTGGTGGGGGAGAGAAGTGGAAGAGGGGAAGGAAGGGAGGGAAGGGACGGAAGAGGGCTTAAGACGTGCTGTGCACGTGTTTGCCGTCTCTGTGTCTCTGTGTGTCGGAGAGGGGCGCGTGGTGGGTGCGGTCACCTTCTCCTCGGGCAGGCTGGCCGGCAGATTCAGGTCCTTGACGTTCGGGAACTCCGGCAGCAGCGTCCCGAGCTTGGACCTCGGCGAGTAGGCCACGGCCTGCTTGCTCACCTCCTTCTTGCCGCCCTCGCTCACCCAGGCGGCCCCCTTCTTGGAGTACATCACGTCGTAGTACTGGGAGCTCTCCTTCACCGCGATGCCGTAGTAGTGGTACCTGGCCGCGGAGAAAGGGGCTCTGACAGGGAACGGGGAGGGAGGGCGCGCTGGGCGCAGCTCCAGGGCTGCAAGAGTTAACTCTCCCCGGAGGCCTGATACCTCTGAAATCTAGAATTAAACCAGTGTTCCATGTGCCAGCCATCAATCAGGCAGGTAAAAATAACCAAAATTACCTCCTACAGGAAAGCTTCAGTCAAATACTTTGCCAAGCAGAGAGGGGATGGAAAGTTTTGCATCCATACTTGATCTCTGTGGGTACCACATGTGACCCGCACTCTCAGGGACCCGAGAACTGCTTGTGCACCCCAGCAAAACCCATCGGCAGGTGGCTTTCCTAGGCAGTGGAGCGCTGGCTCAGGGAACTGTGGTTTCAAAGAGCTGAGTTCAGTGTCTCCCTTAGCAGCGCATGTCAGAGACCAGGGTTTTATTAACTCGGAACAGGCTCGAGGATAGCCACGCTTTCCCTTCAGAGTGAGCGAGCTGCCTGCCTTTGGATTTCAGCTGCCGAGCGCTGCTCCGCGCATGGTGGGCACCGTGCAAAGTGCCCGCACACTCTGATGTGTGAAACAGCCCTGAGTGATGCCGATGGCTGTGGGCTTCCTAAGACGCCAAGCAGAGGCCGGGAAGCACAGGCAGAGCACGCAAGGTTCCCACACCAGACCAGAGTAGCTGCTTCACTCACAGCAAACACCGAGTGACAGCCTGAACCTCGATGGGGCGCAATGAAAACAGACCTTTCCAGCCCCTTCCTGGGACCCAGTGGTTCCGAGCAACTGAGAATGGGCCGGGAAGCACCATGGGCAATTCTGCAACACACCAGTTTGTGCACTGCAGTACAAAAGGTCTAACACACATCGGCTTATTCAAAATTCCCCTGAGGCTGGAACTAAGTTGTATGCCCATTTTACAGACAAGGAAACTATGGCTCAGAACAGTTAAGTACTGTCCCCATGGTCCCAGGGTCCCCCAGACAGGCAGGGTTCTCCAACTAGGAGGCTGGTGATTCTCAAACTCTACAACAATGAAGAATCTCCTGCCAAACCTACACCAGACTCCTGCCTCTCCCTCCCCGGGATTCTGGTTTTGCGGGTCGCATAGATTTTCTTAGTACTAAGGCAGTCTGTGACCTCGCTTTGGGAGCTGCCACACGGCGTGTTAACTCCCCGTCTCCACCAGGGCCGCGTGCAGATAGGCCCCATCATGATGAGGCCAGCGCAGAGGCGTCTTGACATCACCTCCCCTCCCCCACACCCCGACCCTGGTACCATTCGGAGATGCTCCTGCCCAGCGGGCAGCCGGCCTCTAGCTGGGCGCCTCCGGGGTGGAAGAACTGGGGCCCCTCGTAGACAGGCCAGTTCATGGTGCGCCAACACTGCTACCAGAAAGTTCTCTGTGCCACGCTGGGGCCTGCAGTCTGCGCCTTCCACTGCCCAACTGCCACCCAACTGCCTTCCTGGGAGCCTGTGGGGGAGGGGCGGCAGGGTTCCGGAGCCCCTTCTGGGGGTGACAGTTACGGGAGACCCCTCTCACTCCAGAATGTCCCCCTTCCCCTTCCCCAAAGCCGCATGGCCACAACATCACCTCTTAATTATCTCAGCATGCTGCTAAGATCGGCAGCCACAGGAAAACCATCTCTCTGGTCCCTTTTCCGTGCCCACGCTTGGGTTCTGTAGTGAACCCCAGCACCCTCTGCCAGCTGCCCACTGTCTCCTGGCCGAGCACAAGTGCTGGGAGGGTTCCTACCCGCCCGGGCTGTGGGTCGGGTCGGAGCCCAGAGCTTCGCAGCCCCTCGCTCTGGCTGAGGGGGAGAACAGGGCACCAGACAACCGGTTCCACAGAGCTGCCAGGAAGATGCGGCTGGTTCTGCCACCCTGCAGGCTCAGCAAAGAGAAGATCCAATCCGGGTTCTGGCCAGCCGGCCGGCCTGCTCCTCGTCCGGCGCCGCCCGCCCGGGAGCCTCGCTGGCTTCTGGCTTTTCTCTTGACTTGTCATCTTCACTCCTTAGTGCCTGCGGCCAGCAATGCTTCGGGGAGCTGGAACCCCTCTGCTCAGCCTGCGCCTGTCCTCCCGCAAGAAGAGTCCAGCTTCTGTGCTCTGCGAGCTTGGCAAGGGTGAAACTTCATTTTTAAAGGAATACCAGCATTTTTCATTGTAAATGAAGTTTGAAGCCAGGCGTGGTGATGCAGGCCTACAATCCCAGCACTCTGGGAGGCTGAGGCGGGAAGACTGAAAATTTGAGGCCAGCCTGGGTCACTTCTGTAGACTTTGTCTCACAATAAAAAAAAAAAAAGGCTGGGGTGTAGCTCAGTGGGAAGGCTGTGGGTTCAATCCCCACGACCACTAAAAAAAAAGTTTTGGTTTTCAGAGTAGTCACCTTGGAGAGTTACTAGAACTTATTCTGAGCTGTCCTTTGTTTCCAAATTTTCTGGAAATCCCCTTGGAATTGAGCTCAAAAGCTCCTGAGTCACATGAAAGAGTTAGTCCCGTTATTTTCAGAACTTTGCCAATAAGGGACCCATTTCCTTCCCCTAATTTTCCTGGAGTCAACCTACCCCGGGAGGATAAAAATGTGCTGCGCAGGGTGACAGAAGCCTGTGAGAGTGGGGGCTTCTCGGGGATGGAAGGACAGTCCGGGGTGCTTTGAGACACCCTCAGAGACAAGGTCCTGAGGCCTCTCTGGCTTTTACACACGGAAAAAGGTGTGGTGTCTCCAGCTCACCGGGGGCCACTTGCTCTGCACAGCAGAAAGGTTCAGGAATGCAGCCTCAGCCAGTGCCCGACACCGGCGTCCGAAGGGTTCAAAGAAGTCTGCAGATAAGCGTGGCCCCTGCCCTTTGCGGGCGAGTACTGACCTCCTCAGCCTCCGCAGCCTTAGAGCCCCCTCACAGGGCATTCCTGCAGTGCAGCCTGAGGGCCAGACAGAGGGCAGCTCCTGCCAACACCAGCACTGTCCTGGGAGATGGTAGTCCACGTGCCCTTCCTCTTCCTCTTGGGGTTCTCCTTAATGTCCCCCCTCAAGACACTTCCCTGCCCCACCCTTCTCTGTTGGACATAGGATTCCCTTTTCCTAACCTGTCCCACCCAGCACCCAGCACTCTGTCTCTGATGCAGGGCATGTCGGAAGCCGGTCTTGGTAGGGTGAAGGTTGGGCACACCTCTGGCCAGCTGCAGGTCACCCAAGAGGCCAGCTGCTCCTGGACCCTAAACTGTTTCACACAGAACACCTAAAGGCAGGGTGGGGCAAACTCAGATCCACTCAGCCTCTCCGTCCAGGGACCTAGAGAGGGGGCAGCTGTCCTGCCCGCCCCCCCCCCCCAGGCACAGACCGCCATGGGGAGGGGCGCGGAGGCGTGGAGCTGTGGGGTGGCTCGAGTGAGCGTGGGAGCTTACTTGGACTGTCCTCGAGTCCCGAGTCTCCTGGTGGTCAGCTGTGGAAACTGCTGCCTTATGATCTGCAAGTCAACACAAGAATCTGTTACCCACTGGGAAAGTTGGGGTGCGTGCCTGAGATTTACAGACAGCAGGCTGGAGGGAGGGAAACAGGGTTCCCGCCTCAGTGACTCATTAGGAGTCCGTGGGGCCCTGAGAAAAATCCCCGCTGCCTGGGAGCAGAGGGGGAGCTCCTTCCTTGTCCGGGGACCCTGATCCACAGGACCCCTTTAGCTCCCCTCCTTCCCGCTCAGGAGGGATCTGGTGGCCCAGTGTGTGCCGCCTACTGCTCCAAGCCCCTCTGGTGGATTCCACCCACCAGAATCCAACCCAGGCTCTGCCCAGGCTTCCTGAGCCTGCTCCCGCCCCCCGCCCTTGCGCCCTAGAACCCACTACCCAGAGCCCCCCAGACCGGCTCCTTTAAGTCACTCAGGCACTGGGTGCCATGTCCCTGTCCCCACGCCATGCCAAGTTCACTTGCTCACTTGCACGCTAAGGGCTTTGTTTGCATCCTGTCCTATTTGAGGGCAAAGTCTGTGAGCCTGGGGACCTTGCATGGGGCATGGCACCCCAGAAGAACTCAGCCCACATTTGTGGCAGGGGAGCAGGAAGCTCTGGTCCCTGCATGGGCTTGGGCTGTCTGCTGAGGCGATAGTCACTATGGACACAGACCTGCAGGACACAGACCCACAGGAGACCCGAGGCAAGCTGCCGCTATCACATTCTGGGTGCTTGGGGAGAGGACAGTGCTCATGGAGCCTCAGTAAAGTGGGGCAGGGAGGGGGTCATGCACTAGAAGGGTGCGGTTAGACAACCCCCCTCCCCCGGTGTTAGAATCCAGCTGGCCCATGTGTTAGGCTGGAGCCCCTGGACAGTTAGTTAACAGCCACGTGACTGGTTTCCCCATCTGTAAAATGGGAATGATGACCTCGTCCTCAGACGATGCTTGTGAAATGCTGAGGAGCAAATGGAACAATGGGAAGTGCGGCCAGCACTCGACAGCTAGGGACTGCATAGACGCTGTCCGCCACCATCGCCGTCCTAACCCCCGCTTTCCTTTTCAAGTCCAGCTTCGCTCTGCTGCAGGGTCGAGGTGCTGCCCAGCCTGATTTCCCTCTGGCATGGCATGGACTGCAAATGGTTTTCCCCAACAGGGATGGGCCTTCTGGTCCTCGGTCCACACCAGGGTTCTCTCTCTCACCCACGATTTGCATCCGCTCAACAAACAGGCCCTGTGCCGCCGTCAGCTGTTTGAACTTGGGTCTCCCGCTTCACCTCTCTGTGCCCTGCTTTCCTCCTGGGATGGCTGAGGACTTAGGCAGCTACCAGGGGTGGGATGGCTGGGGTGGCCTGGGCTGGACTGGCATCGGTAGGATGGAAGGAAGGGTGAAAAAGGCGAGAACCTGGACTGGCAGCGCGAAGCCGGCCCGCTGTGATGCGTTGGGGAGCTGAGGGCCCAGCGCGGGCGGGGAGGCAGGGCCGCAACACCCCAGCTGCCGGCGGGCGAGGGAAGGCGCCCCACGGATGTCCTGTCCGGAGACTCCGACCCAGGAACAGCACAAGAGCCCCTTGGAAGTGATCAGACGGAACAGCAGTGCAGCCCTCCCCCTGCACCCCGCCAGCGTGTCAGCGACGTAGGCAACACAGCTGCTCCCCCAACCCCGGCGCCAGCCACTGAGGCCCGAGTGCTCACTCTGCCCGAGTCCCTTGCTGGTCACTGTGCCCCGAGTGAAGAGCGAGCCTGGGTCCAAGACCGTGTTCTGTAAATACTGTCCGAAACTGCATCTCCTGGGCCCGAGCGAGGCTACGGCAAGCCGGCCCTGAGGCTCGGCGGGACGGCCACGTGCTGGGCCAGAGGCCTGACACCCTGCAGGAGCCACAGGCCACGCAGACGGAGCCAACCAGGCGAAGCGTGAAAACGGGGTGGGGGGTCTTCATGCCGGCTACAGGGAGCTATGATCGAGCTCTGAGCTTCCCTCTACCCAGGTACAGCAGATCATGATCAAAGACGCTTGCAAGCAGACAAGGCACGCAGGCCGCTCCGGGAAGTCCCGCCTGTGCCATGGACACAGCTGCAGGACACCACGCTGGCCCCCACAGTAACGCATGATTGAAGATACAATGCTCAGTGCTGCCAACGTTGCGGTGAGATAGGGGACTCAGCCCTGCCCGAGATGGTCACCAGCTCAACCCCACCCAGACATTATCTGGTATTTATCAGGTGCCAGGAAGGACCCATGCTTCTGACCGGTGTCGGTTCCAAGTTTAAAATAAGGCAGAGCTAAGTCTGGGGCTGAGAGAGCGTGAACGGAAAGCAGCGGCAGAAAGGACTCTCCGAGCCCAGCGCCCTGGGTAACACACGGCAGCACGGCGGCAGGGCTGGAGACTCGGTCCTCCGGGGACGGCACTCTCAGCACGACACACTGACGACTGGCACTGGTGTGAAGCCAGAAACTCACAGGGAAGGGGGACAGGTGAGAACGGTGTCCGTCAGGGGTGGAGACCCGAACCTCAAGGGTCTGGACCACACACGTGGTGAATCAACTCCCAGTGCCAACAGAAGGACTGTCCTGACTGCAAATTTTCCTAACTGGCAAAGGAGGTCCAAGACAAGCACAAACCCACCAGTAGTGAGCTGTGGTCCCAAGTTTTCTCTTTTCTCTGTGAAAAGTAAATCATTCCTCGTCCCCGGCAAGTAATCTGTGGGCACTGAAAGCAGGGTGCACTGGAGTTTGGGGTGCGGAGCCTTATCATTCCCTGATTTAAGAGACTGGCTGAGTTCTGAACCCTACAATCCGAAGGGTGACCCACCCAGCACTCCCAGGCTGACATCAAGGCAAAGACCTGGTGCCTGCCCCAGGGCCACAGGAACTGGGGACCCCGGTGCCTGTCCTAGGGCCACAGAAACTGGGGACCCCGGTGCCTGTCCCAGGGCCACAGAAACTGGGGACCCCGGTGCCTGTCCTAGGGCCACAGAAACTGGGGACCCCGGTGCCTGCCCCAGGGCCACAGAAACTGGGGACCCCGGTGCCTGTCCCAGGGCCACAGGAACTGGGGACCCCGGTGCCTGTCCCAGGGCCACAGAAACTGGGGACCCCGGTGCCTGTCCCAGGGCCACAGGAACTGGGGGCCCCGGTGCCTGCCCCAGGGCCACAGAAACTGGGGACCCCGGTGCCTGTCCCAGGGCCACAGGAACTGGGGGCCCCGGTGCCTGCCCCAGGGCCACAGGAACTGGGGACCGGCTCTCTGGAGTCATTTCTTCCCCTCCCTGAGCCGACCACACTCTTGAGTGCATTTGTCACTTTTTGCTGTGACTCCCTCGGGGCTGGCGGGACTGGCTTATCTCTTCTGAATAATGTGTCTGGTGCATGTGACATCACTGTCTTTGGGACCAGCACCTCCTGCTGCCCTGTCACCTGGACCAGACCCTCCTGCCCCACAGGCTGCCCACAGGCCGACTCGATCACCGCGGCGCCTGGCCAGAGTCCAGCGCCTTTCCCCTGCGGCTCCCGCCTCTGCCTCCCGCCCAGCCCGCTCCAACCTACTGTCCTCCCTGGGCCCAGCTCCTGCTGGCCCTGCCACTGTGTGTGCTTGCCCCTCTTCCCCCCCAGGGACCCCTCTGTCTCTGAGCCCCTCCTACTTCCCTGTGTCCTGCCTCTGTTTCCCCAGGGAGCGGGACAGAGCACGGAGGTGAGGCTCACAGCCTTGGCACAGCTGCCTCGGTGGGGTTCCTGGCCTGGTGCAGGTCACCGTCTATGTTTTACTCCAGTGACCCCCGCAACGGTTCCACTGCACAGAGATGCGGCTGAGGCTGAGATGGCT